AAGTTTATCATTTTTGGGCCCCATTTCACAAAACTTGTCATCACAAAACTTGTCAATGACAGTTTTTGTTATAAGCTACTGAAACCCTTGTTCCAACAAGAATATGCCTCTCCTCCGGACGGAAGGTCAGGCATAGGTCTGAAGACAACACATCTGAAAAAGGGCAACCAAAAAATGATGGGAAAAAGAAGGAAAAAGAGGGAATATATATATTTTGCTGAAACATTCAGGGGCGGATCTAGCTTTTTGCTAAGGGGGGGGTTGACCAAAATAATGACGATGCGGAGCATCGTCCACGAGCCGCGAAGCGGCGAGCCGATTTTTTTTGGGGTGTTTATTTGAACCCCGTAAGTGATGTTTTCCTGGCATCTATTAACACAATGGAGACCATAAAAAGCAGTGCATGATAACGTCTTTTTAAATCAAGTAACAGTTAAATACACAGTTATATCCAGAGTTATCATGTGTTTGGTTAAGTTACCTGATGAGTTGAATATCTTCTCACAATATTTGCACTTGAAAGGGTTTCTCTCCAGCGTGCGTTCTTTTTTTTTCTTTTTTTTTCTTTCTTTTTTTCTTTTTTTTTCCTTTTTTTTTTTTTTTTTTTGGGGGGCCGCCCAAGGGGGGGTTGCAACCCCCCCCAACCCCCCCCCCCCTGGATCCGCCACTGATCATAGTAACCGTAAAAATCTTCACCCCCAACTCCGTTAGTGGTTGTAGAGTATAAAAATATACCAAAAGATACTCTCGAAACCAAAAAGAGGATGCGCCATCTACGATGTCGTGCCAGATAATCCTCTACTTCATGCCATCGAGTTTAGCTGCTGGGTACACTATAACAAGAGTAATAATTATTTCTTCTGCGTCTTCTTCTTTTTCTTCTTCTTCCTCCTATTCGTTTTCCTATTCTTCCTCTTCTTCTCCTTCTTCTCTGATTAAATTTGATTTTATATATTTAATCTTTCTCCATGGTCTTTTCCAAACCTACAAATTAATTAAAAACATAATCATGAAAATGAACAAATAAGTACACATCCTTAACGCTTCTTTTTCTTGGCGAACAGAGTGCTCGAGAAGCTTTTCGGCTTTTATTAAACCAACCCAATATCATGCAAGGTGGACTTCCCCTTTAAAATGTTAAACTTAAATGAATATAAATACATGTTCACTTATAGGGCAGATTTGAGATTTGATTATATTTTGACATCACTGCAGCTAATTACTGACATAAAAAATCGGTCTGTGTTCAAATTGAAAAAATACTTCCGAAAAAAATGATATAACTTACGAATTTCAATCTGGTTTTCGACATGACTATTCGACAGAAACATGTTTAATTCATTATTTTGACTGATTATGAGGACAGAAACTTCCAATGGGCGCTTTGTTGGTATGGCGCTCCTTGATCTGCAAAAAGCTTTTGTTTCCAATGTCCTTACCTACAACTAATATCTTTTGCTATATTTGTATTTCTTTTTGGAATAGGTTAATTATCAAATTACATATTATTTTCCGAAACAAAATCACATCCTTGCAATATTACATAAAGTGAAAAGTTGAGTCAACTTGTCCACAAGAGTTGCATAAATTATTATTCACAATTTGCCATTTATATAAGTTTTTTTTTTTGAAGAAGTTACAACTAATGGGTTTTAATAAGGCAAGTTTAAAGTGGTTCACTTTTTTTTTAGAATTTGTATGCTTTTTTTTAGATCAAAACTAATATCAAAATATTTACTGGTCATCAATGATGATTGGTAGTTCAGATCCTACTTGTCTAATCGACACCTTTCTTGATATTCGTTCGAAACTAATGCCTTTAACATCATGCGGTGTTCCTCAGGGAAACATTTTAGGCCCAATTCTTTTTACAAATTATATCAATGATATGTGTATTAGTATAAATAGACTTTAAACTGTTAGAAGTCAGCCAAAAATCAAAACAAATCGTATTGCATCACGTGCATAAAATATATCATACTAGGTCGAATCATTATGTTCGATCCAACTTCGATCTTGTTATATACATCGTTAGGGTACAAGAAAGCCTATTTTAACTTACCAGAAAGAGTAGGTAGTAGGCCTCTTAGAAATTCGTTTTTATCAGTACATTGCCATTAAAAACATTGGAATTCCCTTCCAAATGATATAAAGGAAATATAAAACTTTGCCCACTTTTAAGAGGAATACCTAACTCTTGAGAGTCAGAGGAGAGAAGCAAATGACTGATTGAATTTTGTTTTTCTTCTGCCGGTTCATATTTTTTAAATTTTGTATACTTATGTACGTTATAGAAATCAAACATATTTATCTTTTTTCCCTCTTCCTCCTCCTCCTCCTCCTCCTCCTCCTCTTTTTCTTCTTCTTCTTGTACCGTCATTCTATCATCAGTTTAATGTTGTTATTGTTATTATCATCATTATTATCTTTAATTTAAAAAAATTCTTATCAGTCTGTAAATATTACTATCTTAACTTAGTAACTTTGTACATGTATGTCAGGCAGGCGGGGATCCAGGATTTCTTAGGGGGTCCAAATTTGAAATCAATTTGAAAATTAAGTCTGCTGAAATTTGAACGGCCCAATATTTCGCTCAGGGGGGGGGGGTATTGAGCATTAATAGTGAGCGCCAGGGGGGTGCCATTTTGTTAAAGTTTTTTTTTTAGCACTACCTATCAGATATCAAGAATTATTTAAGAGTTCCAGGAATTTAAACTCCCATTCATTCTTTTTTTCCTTCCCCTCCCCAGGGGGGGGGGGGGGGGAGGGGCGGGGGGTACTCAGGTATATTGGGTATACGGGATGTGCCGCTCGGAAGGGTGACATGGGTCCCCTTTTCATTAAAAAAATCCTTAGGCATGGATCCCATTCAGGCACATAGCCAGAGTTTGATGTTTGGAGGGGGGGGGGGGGGGCACATACAGTTAATCGATCGAGGTCAAAAAAGCCCCCCCCCCCCCCCCTGGCTACGTGCCTGGTCCCATTAAAGAAAAAACCTTAGACACGGGTCCCTTTTTCATTTATTCCTTTCCCCTCTCTTCTCCCTCATTTTCTCCGGGATTATGGGATTTACTCAGAAACTGCAAAATGATTGTATTATTACAGCTAAAAAATGTAATATTTAAAGTTTGAAATCCTTAAACATGCACTGTAAAAAAGAATTTGTTCATTGGGAATTTTTACGTATTTTTCCATGTAGAATTTACTTGAAAACATTAGTTTTGCCACTTAAGCACTAAATTTAAGTCTTGCTAACTCAAACTTTCAATTTAGTAGAACATACGTGGAATATTTAAGTAAAATCAAATACATAAGAACTTTAAGTAATTTCAGCTTGTATTAATTTAGTAATTTTAACTCAAAATCAGAAATTATACGTATTACTCAAACAATTTATGTTGATTATTCTTATCAAAGGACCGATGCAGTGCGTAATAGAAATATTTACATAATTTATGAATATTCATTAAGACCAAATTAAACTCTTTTTTTAAATAAAACAATTCTTTTTTGTGGTTGAATGAAAATTTAAGGACTTTAAAACATTTACTAATTCATTTAACATGGCTAAGCAAAGACAAGACAATTTTTAATTGTTACCCAGTTCAAAACAAATAAAAACTTGATATTTCAGAAAATTGTCAACCAATTTTCCTTTTAAGATGCTACGATCAAGTATATATAAAATTTGGAGCCTTTTAATATGTGTCGAATTGAAGCGTATGTAATAGTTTGTGATGGTGGTATATATATATATATATATATATACGGTTAAATCTTAAATAAAAGTAGTGTTAGTGATTAGTGATTAATCTTAAATAGAAATAGTGAATGATTAGTGGATGTTACTTGTTAGATTAGATGGGTACCAAATCGTGCAATATGTAATCCTATCATAGCTTTTTTTTAATTATCTAAAATGATTACAATACTTAAATTATTTACGTTAATGTAACTCGATTTAACTGAGTAAAAATTTATTCAGCAAAATAAGTAAATTCTACTTAAGATGCCGTAGGTAATATTTACTTAATAAAAATAAGGCAATTCTTTTCCTCAATTTTATTGAGTTATTTCGACTATTATTTTTTTTACATTGTGGGTCCATTGGCACAAAAAAAAATCCTTAGACATGGGTACCTATTTACAGCAAAAGGACCCTTGGATGTGGGTATGGGTTCGGAGGTCTCAGCCGCACACCCCGTCCGACCATAATCTGGGTACCCCCCCCCCTCCCCCACCCCTCCCCCGTGGAGGGGGGGGGGGGGCCCGGCCCCCCCACTCAGTGTTATTTAGGGTACGCATATGCTCGTTCCCTCTTTTTGAAAGCACCCCCTATCTGAGGACTGCCAACATTTCCGAACCCCCCTTTCGCGGGCTTTTCGCGGGCTTTTCCTGCCTTGGAGACCCCCCTAAATCAGGAAAAATGCTCAATGTACCCCCCTAAATTCGGAATAATTTCTCAGGAGTCCAAAGAGATGAGAAAAAAAAGAAAAAACACCCCCTTTTTAAAGAAATCTCCGGGTGAAAAGTCAAATACACCCCTTTTTTTACAATTCTCGGGCCGGACTTTGTCGCACGAAAAGTACCCCTTTACCGGACATTTTGGCAACACGCATGCGGTCATTTCGAAACCTGAGTGGGGGGGCCGGGGGGGGGGGGGGGGTGACTCACACTGAACTCTACATCGCGTAGTGTCTAGTGATGTCTCACAGAATTTCGCATCCAGTTTTAAAATTCGTAGAATCGAATGGCCTGAGTCAAACTAATGTAGCAATCTGTGTCACAAACGTTTCAAAGCCCTGTGTCTAATACAATTTTTAAAATTTAATTTGAATGTTTATATAGCAAATATATCATTACAATTGATTATTCATTAATTAACAATATCAATTTAATACAAAATTAACAATTATTCATTTAAATTTGAATGCTGATCATTAAAATATTATAGATCTCAAATTGGCTTCGCTATCTCGTTCACATATCGCTAATTGCCTGCTGTTTATTTCAGTAGTTCATTGACCCATTGATTTCAGCCTTAACCCTAAAGGAGCGGAGAAAGGCACAAAGTTGTCGATTTTTAGACGTGAATCGTTGGGTAAGTTCACCAATGAAACAATGAGAGTGAAATTATTTCCTTGAATGTTACGATTTTCTAATGCAAGTACATTTCTTAGACCCAATTCAATAGCATTGACATGTCATTGTGCTTTATCACAGGCCCACATGCATGTTTTTGCGTCTTGTTTATTATAATTGAGTTTTTCTTTCTTTCAAAATCAATTACTATTACTAGAATTGTGGGCGCTTGTTCAGAAACCTATCCAAAATTTGACCTGTTACTATGGCGTGGAGATACCCTAATAAAACATACCCAAAATGAAGTAAATATTCATTAAATGTCCGAATAAAGATCATGAATTAAAAATTGTTATGTTTATTATATTGCCTGTTTCGTGTCAATTTTCTTGTTATTTTTGGAGTATTTTTCGGTAAAACGTTGATATTAGTTTACAGTTTTTCACAAGTTTCACGGCAAACCGCTGCACAATACAAGTGTATACCGATAGTGGGTTGCGGGCGTGCGCGCGCCTGTGTGAAGTTATCTACGACTATGGTAATGAGGATCTGAGACATTACGGTAGATAACTCGCACAGGACCAGGGCACACGCCCGCCCGCCCACAACCCACCATCGGTATGTACTGAATATTCTTGCAAATGAATGGGTTTGTGTGTTAAGAAAGACATGAAATGCTGGGTTTATTGTTGTCGTAGGTTGTAACTTTGGCATTCAGTCAAATTTGACTTTTTAATATGGTAGCACACAATCTTTCCGCTTGGAACCTCTCAGACGAGTTTAAAATCTGTACTTAACCTATTTTAATATGAAGAAAATTAGATTCTAAGTGGGAATATGATTCCTTTGCAAGCGTCCTTTGATATTTTTTGATGACTGCAAGTAAAGGATTTCAACTGATAACATTTCATGAAATGAAAAATTACTATACATGTAACTACCAAATCAGTATTGAAACATAAACATAAACATTGTAGAGTTAAAGATAAAGGTGAGTTCTGATTTAAAAAAAAAAATTACGCTGAATGTTCAAGATTACAAATAAATGTCATTTGCCAAACAATTTTGGTAGAAAATGTATACTGACTGAGTAATGAGCATAGCAAGATTAGGAAATCAATGTTAGCCCAGACACCATTTGTGTAGTCCCATATACATCTTTCTGTGTACAGTGCTTGTTACTTTACCAAGACTGGGCCAAATTTATTATGATTTTGATGACTCCATAACTTTGCAGTACACACCAATACTTACATGCTACATGATCAACCTTTTCTGATCCATTCCACACCTTTTCTTTCACAATGCAATTGGTTGACCAAAAATCACCTTTATCTTTAAGCTACCCAGAACATTGCTAAGGTTGATATTGAGATTTTAGGTGGTATTTTTTTCTCAGCATTTACCTTGGTTTCTCTTTCAAACACAGGTCAGCACTCCTGCTTACCGAAGCTGAAGATCAGAGATCAGTCATCCCATGTGCATATCCATATTCAGCGAGCAGCATGGCAAGTCAAGAGGATTCTGCTGAGTCTTGCAAGTCAGTCAGAAACAGGCCCCTGACATCGGCAGAGAAGCAGAAGAACTACAGGGAGAGGTTGAAAGAGTCCCCAGAGAAGTATGAGCGTTTCAAGCAGAGTGAAGCCAAGAGACAGAGGCAGAGAAAGACAACACACCAGCCAACAGAGGAAGAAATAGCCCACCAGAGAATGAAGTGGAGGGAAAGAGTCAGAAAACACAGATTAAAGAAAAAGCAAGAAGCTTTGATGAATGAGAGACCATTTCAAGAGCAATTTTATATGTCTGAGGCTATCCCCAATGGGTCAGGTATGCCAGAGATTTTAGGGGATACTGAAGAAGACACAAGATCCATGACTCTCGACCACAATAGTTACAGAAACCTTGAATACTTGCAAGCCAACAGGGAATCTTGTCTAGATATGAATTTATCCGAAATGAACATAGGCGAATATGTCATGGATGCACATGAGGAATGCAATAGAGAGAAATCTGGCAACAATTTAGTGAAACTTGAGTGCAATACGCCAGAAGGGGATGACACAGTTGGTAACCGTGAAATTGAACTAGAAGCAAGAACTTACTTTCCCGCTGAACATTATGCTCATGTTACCAGTGAAAATGGATTTGGAGTTGGTCAGGGTCAGATATATGATGATGGAAGTGTAAACAATGAGAAGGAATTACAAGATCAACTGCCTACGGGTCGTACAGTGTTATCTCTAGTTGAAGGGTTTTGTGGAGAGTCGCCAAAGAAAAGGAAACCCTTGTCTGCTGCTGAGAGGCAGCGCAATTACATCGAAAGGCTCAAAGCACAACCGGAAAAGTGGAAACAGCACAAAATGAGGGATACACTGAGACGTAAAACAGTGCAAGAGCAGAACAAAATATCAGAAGAAGTTGTTTCTCAAAGGAGAAAGAGACAGTATCAACGAACAAAAAGACAGAAGGGAAGGCGGATTACAAAGGCCCAAACGAAGGACACTGGTCATGGTGATGTTAGTCTATTACAAGGGGCACCCTCGTGTGCAGGAGACTTTTCTTTGACAGGGAGCGCTGAAGCATCAACAGCTACTGAGGGTATCCAAACCAATGTGAATATTTCCAAGGTGAAAGTGGAACAGAGTGACTTAGACTCATATGCACTGGAAATGGCTGACAATTGCACAAATTCAACTGCGAACAATTTTGTGAAAGTGAATGGAGAAAATACATTCGGGGTTTGCCAAAGTCCAGTGCCTATTGAAGAAATGCAAGGTCATATGATAAGAACCCCCTCCGTTGTAAAGCTAGTCGGAGGTTCACATAAACAATCTCCAAAGAGAAAGCCTCTGACTCCTGCAGAGAGGCAGCGAAACTACAGGGCAAAACTGAAAGCAGAGTCCGACGCGTGGGAAGAAACCAAGTCTAGAGACGCCGAGAGGCGTAAAATGATGCGAAGGCAGAACCAAAACTCTGAGGAAGCTGCTATCCAGCAGAGACGGAAAGCAACAGAAAGGCAGAGGGAGTATCGACGTAGGAAAAAAGCCTTAAGACCAGCAGGATATCCTTCTGCAAAGAACTCTGAAGCAGCTACCTCAACTACCAGATTTCACCAACCTGAGAGCAGTACACCAGATGTAGGCGAGAGTTATACACATGCAATGCTTGCGGTAAGAGACCTTCAGACAGAGAAATGTGGCGATGTGACCAGTGACATTGAATGTGGTGTTGGTCAAACTGCTTTTTATGGGGATGGAAGTCCAACCATTGTTGAGAAAATGCAAAATCAACTGCTAGCTAGTCCATCTTTATCATTGCCAGTTGGAGATTCAACTGGACGATCATCAAAGAAAACACCGTCGACTGCTGCTGAGAGGCAACGGCAGTACAGGGAAAGACTTAAAGCCCAACCGGACAGGTGGGAACAATACAAAGCAAGGGATTTAGAGAGACAGAAAAGGACACTAGAGCTGAAAAAACAGTCTGAAGCAACTGCTTTACAGCAAAGAAAAAGAGCAAGAGAAAAGCAGAGAGAATATCGACGTCGGAAACGAGAGAATAATTTGAGAATGAAAGGAACAGGACACGCAAACATGAACTATTTGCAAACCAACACTGATTCTCATCTTGATATGAATTCATCTGAGTTGGAGATAGGTCAGTATGTCATTGATACACATGAAGAGAGTGAAGATCTTTGGAAATCTGAATGCAATACCCTTACTGGGGGTGACAATGCTACCTGTCAGGTGAAGCTAGAAGTACAAGATAACTCTCCTGCAGAGCATGATGTGGATCCAGCCAATGAAAATGGATTTGGACTTGGTCAAATTTCAACATGCGAGGACAAATGTCAGAGTCAGCTGCTTATGGGTCCTTCTGTTGCATCAAGTGTCAAAGTCGCTCCTAGACGACAGCCAAGGAGAAGGAAAGCCATGACTGCTGCAGAGAGGCAACGAAAGTACAGGGCAAGACTAAGAGCAGAATCAGAAAAGGAGGACCAAGTGGACCTAGGAGGTACAGAGATGCCCAAGAATATCCAAGACCACAAAAAGGCATCTGAAAGTGCTGCTTCTCAGGTTAGGAAGAAAGCAACAGAGGGAACACAACTGCCTCAACTTAGGAAAAGAAAAGAAGTAATATTTAATCTACATGGCAAAAATGTACACCCCTATGTACACCCCTACCAGCCTACAAGGAGCACAACAGCCTCAAGAAGACAACAGAATCGTACAGTTAAGACCAAACAATTACATGTATCTGAAATTGTCATGCAGTCGGCGAAGAGAGTTGATAGGATAAGTTCCAGTACTGAAATACAGGAGCAAGAGATAGATGCTCAGCTTGCTCATAAACGAATGAAAGGGAGGGAAAGAATGAGAAAGTATCGCCTTAAGCAGAAGCAGAAGCAGAAATTGCAGAAAGTCTGTGGAGAGTCTAGGGACAGTGTCACGCCAAGGATTGTAGCTGTGTGGAGTATGAGTGAGGGAAGTAAACAAGGAGTACGCGTGAAGCAAGAGAACAACACCCAGTTCGTGGCAAGTAAGTTTGATAACTCTGGGTGCAACGTCAGTAATGTGCCAATTCTACCAAAAGCAAGTACTAGTACCATGAATGCAGATGATTTGGCCAAGATAGTGCCACAAGAGGATATGGGACAAATTTACGGAATAGTCCCAAACCTATTTGTTGTGAACCCCTTAGGCAGGGCCAAACCTTGTTCAGATATCCCTACCATATTTCCTACTCAAAGTCCCCGGTCAAATGACAACAGAGACCAACTGTGGACAGGGGCCTCTGAAGGAAATGCAATCCCATTCAAAATTCAAAAGGTAACAAGTGCAGACAGACAGAGGCAGTATCGTGAAAGACTCCAACAAAATCCAGAAAAGTGGGCAGCCTATAAGCAGCGAGAGAATGAGAGATACTTGGCTAAGAAGGCAGTCCTGGCAGTGAAGGAAATAAAAAAGACCAGGAAACAGACTCTCCTGAGAATGAGGCAAAGGAGGTTAAAGCCGAAAGAGGGCAAAAACTCCCAATACATCACCTTAGACAATGCTTTGGACATTGTTCAGGATGGTATTTCTAAGGGAGAGACCCAAGCATCCCTCATCTCAGGAAAATCTGTTGGGTTGTTAGAGGCAAAGTCATCGGGGCGACGGGGGAAAAGGGGGCTTAACAAGAGTCCCGAAGAAATTGAAAGACTTAGACAAGCCAACAGAGAGCGACAAAGGCGCCACAGAGCAAAGAAAAGAATGGAACAAGGTATGCAAGAGGCAAGTAGCTTTGCAGAGAGGACGGAGCTCCCAGTACTAGCTGACTGCAGTGTGACAAGTAGAGCGGAGAAGTCTGAAATCACCATAAATAAAGGCGAACTGTGTAGAGGACAGGGTGATTCGCAGGACACAGTAGGAAGTGAGTTTCATTGTTCAACTCAGTTCAGGATATTCCCTAATCTGTCTCCTACAGAACATATGGGTCCTAGAAAACAACTTACAGTGAGGAAGAAAAGAGGTAGACCCAGAAAGCAAACACTTTTGAAGACGGAACAGTGCACAGATGTTGCTTTTAATGACTTGATGGCATCTTCTCTGGGAAATGAGGGTCATGGAGAAGTGTTGGTATCGAGTGCTGGAAACATTCCAATGATCATCAAGATGCCAGAGGTCAAAGGTCAACCGGACCATCGATGGGAAGAGATCCCGCAGGTGATTCCTTGCGATCCACCTGAAGCCGACTTTGACTGGGGCAATGAAGGATTGGACCACTTTGAACAAGGCCTTGATGGAGAGATGTCCTTGGACCAAGTACAGGTAACAGAACCTGTTCCAGGGGAGGTTGAGGGAGGGTGCATTTTTGGTTCTGCCCGTAGGAAGGCCTTCTTTCCCACTAAGCATGACACTACTGATTTCACACTCAATACCTCGTGGGTTGCTGAGACACCACTTGGGGATCCATGAAACACGTCACATGATTTCTGTTGATTGATTAAACAATCGGCACTCGTCCATGATTTCCCCCACCCAATCTATTTGATATAATATGTTCATGGACAAAGTTTTCCTGTGCAAAAGCAAGACTTCCAAGACTTCATAGCCTTGAGTCATACTGATCATTTGTTACCAATTTCTTGAAATTCACAAATCAAGTTTTGCATTTGTCAAAAATCACTCATGGCATACAGCCAAAACAGACATTTTTCTCACATGTAGTCATACACACTAGGGAATTTTTCTCATGACTTCTATACAAATGGTTAACGATAATATCAAAAATGTTTAAGATATTGATATAAAACTTTATGCTATGAGATGCTGTATCCGCACTCCAAGTCATATAATATCTTCTGCCTCTACAGCTTAGATCCTGGGATCATGCAGGAGATAGGTTGTTAGGACCCGCAAAAATATAAACGAAAACCAGAAATTACAGCTGTGAAATCACAGCTCACAATTGTGCATGGACCATCTGTCACACACATGTTTTCTGATAGATATTCAGGGCAGTGTTTCACTAAACCATCATGAGTGGAAGTTTGCCGACATCCCATTGAAATAAGTACATAAAAATTCACACGTGTTTCAATGTGATGTCGGCGAACCTGTACATATGACAGTCTCATGAATCGATGCCTAGATTTCCGTTTTTCTTTGCTCACTACTAAGGTATTGCATAGCATTCACTCTGCATAAGTTGAATCTGTTGGGACCACACAAAATAGTCGACTTACGCAAAATTCGAATTTAATTAGAAAACCAAATCCTAGAAGAGCTAGAATTTTTTTTTTTTCTTCTCCTTTTTTCCCCAGAAATTATGGTACACACATACAATGTTATTTTGTACAGATCTACATTGTGTATGAGTTTTAGAATATTGAAAAAAGAGTAATTCCAAAAGAAGAACAATGAATTTAAAGGACTGCATCAACTTGTTCACTCATCAGCAGATGATGTTTGTATGTAGAGTATGTGCAGACCTGTGTGTGACTCATGACAGCTTTCAAAGTGGATTGACTTCTGAAGAAAAAAATTGAAGGAAATTTGTTACCACTGTGGTCTTATACCAGCTACAGATGCACCAAGATTTTTTTCTCCATATATACTGTTACCTATAAAGTTAGTAAATAATTTGTTTGGTGTACCGGTATTTTCACGTAGTGATTTTGAGAGTATGATTCATGGTTGATAGATAAAGTCTATATGTTCTTAGAACTTTATTGATCCATCTAAAGAGTCATAACGATTGATCAAGTAAGTTCTGACAAGATACACTATTTACCCTTGAGGAATAAACCAAATTGTCACAATCATTTCATGAAAAGAGATTTAAAAAAGATTATTCCAACTTTACGGGCAACAGTGTTACGTGACATTGGCCAACTCTGTGTGATGCCTTTGGATTATTTGTTCCAAAATTCCTGTTTACGAAGATGACTTCATGGAGGATGACAGGAAGCATCTCGCTTTTGAAATGCTGTATATTATGTGATGACACTTAATTTTTGTGTTTTGTACTCCATTTTGTATATAATGAATTGTATATTTTGTATATTTTGTATATTTTGGGTAATTATTTGCTTCATCTAATTATGGGTATACCAATGAATAACATTTGAGACATGTTTACGAGACAACTCCAACTATGTGCAATTAGAATTACAGGTACATGTACTTAGTTTTTTATTCTGTAAAAAGTAATTACCTTTTTTTTGTTCATTTACCCTGAAGTGCATAAACCTCAAATTGTAGTAGATTAGGTTAAATATACATGAGGTTTATATTTGAACAATACGGTAGATTCACAAGCCACAGCGCCATCTAGTGATACCAAGTGTTTAGTCTGTTTCATGTGATGCCTCATGGGAAAAAGTTGACAAAGATATCAGGCTTTTATCAGCTATGGCTTTGTTACATACCCTTGGAGATGAGGGGAATTAATCAACAATTTTGGTTGGAAAGGTTTGAATTGGTTTTTGGGGTTAAGTTTTGAGCTCATTCCAAAAATGTCGGTCTGATTGACCTTAAAATATTTTCGTTATTTCAATCAGTTGCTAGCGTTGTGCTGTGCTGCACAGGTCGAGCTAAATAAATGGGCCTGTCACTGTTTGTCGGTGGGGACACTGTTAAAGGTAAAGACCAGTTTTGGAAACGCCCCCCTCTCAAAACATGAAATGGAAGCTCTTATTACCAATCATGTGAAAGATTATGTTTTGACTAATACTCGATCATGCAAATTTTGCTGAGAAACCGCCTACTAATTGATATATTTGGTAAATTATTATATCTATTTGGACCTGATAGATATAACGCATGTGTCGCGCACGTGTGGGGGTAGTCCCATATACATCTTTCTGTGTACAGTGCTTGTAACTTTATCAAGACTGGGTCAAATTTCTTATCATTTTGATGATTCCAGAACCTTGCAGTACACACCAATACTTAGATAATCAACCTTTTCTGATCGATTCCACAACGTTTCCTTCGCAATGCAATCAAATGACCAGAACTGGTCTTTATCTTTAATTGTGAATTCACCCTATTGTATTAGGGGCCAGTTTTTCAAGATTCCATTCCGTTATGCTACTTATATAGTATCAACATTATTCAATTACATGTATTCATATTATGTGAGCTGGCAGGGGCACTGCACTCATTCATCAAATGGATATTGATTGCTCCTTTTTATACTACTGTTCACTAGTGAAATTAATAATAGCAGAGTGACTGTAAAACAATTTAAAAAGTAAAGAAATGGCTATTCTTCCATTTGTTTTAAACAGATGCTTCACAGAGATGTGAAATATTGAGGAGCAAATATATCTCCTAAATGTTCTGCTCCATATTAACATTCCAGAAATGTGTAATAGTTTTTCAGAAACGGCCAACAATATATCTGAAATGCATGTCACTGTAGTGCAGCAAAATTCAACCTCAAACTTAATTACTGTAAATATATATAAATTTGGTATTTAATATGAAGAAAAAGACTCTGAATATAGACATTTTGATCGTTAGAACTTTTTTTTTTATTAGATGGAATATTTTCATTGGGAATTGCAACTGTGTTGTATATACATGGAATGTCTTGTATGAAATCAAAATGCCTCTATTCAGAGTCTTTTTGTGACCTTATCTAACAGTGCATTATATATTTGTACACTGGTAGGCATATGCTTCAGTATGGTCAGTGATTAATTTCAGTATTGCACCTTGTATTATAATCTAATAATATTTCACAAGCTCCTTGAGTTTAAGATAAATTGTGTACTTTTATTTGTGCAGTCCATATTGACGATGTATTTTCTAATGTTCTCTGAAAATCTGTACCACAGCTTTTAAAAGTTATGTCTATGTAAGTTTTTCGTGTGATGAATCCATTGTACAGTCAAACCTGCTTTAGTGACCACCTGTCTACAAAGACCATCTGTCTACAAAGATCACATTTTTTTTCCCTTGAAAATGGTTTCTCATTGAAACATGTACTAAAGGAACCTGTTTACAAAGACCACTTTTTGTGTTTCCCTTGGGCGCGGTCGCCATAGATAGGTTTGACTGTATTTCATTTTTACATACATACGTAATAAGTGTGAAATGTCAAGTTAAACGTTTTAAAATTAATGCTATTACTTAATTGCACGACTTGCCTAAATAAATACAGTAAATTGATAATTGTATGGGGTTTGGGGGATGTTTTTTTTTAACAAAAAAGGTAATTTGTACTCCTGACATTGTAATACTTGCCTGCATAATTTGCTTTAATTTAATTCTGGTACATAATTTGATTTAATTCTGGTACACACATCACATTTCACATATCATTTCTTTTTGAGAGACAGGCCTATGACAAGAAAATATATTGTATATTGTATGTACCTATAGGTACATAGGTAATGACAATACTAATCATGGAATACATGTATATATTATCTGAAAAACGTTGAAAATGCTCTTGGAATGTTCAACTTTTTGACAATATGGATTACATAATTATATCTTCATGTATGTGTCTTGTGAACTGTCAAAATTACACATTGCATTCTTGTACATGTATAAGCAGTAAATTTTATGTAATATGTAAAAATTGATGTTCATGAATACATCTCATTCACCTCATTGGCCATATTTAATCAAAGATAAATATAGATCATGTAAAGAGCTACTCAATTTGTCTTTAGATTTTGTATTTATTTGTATTACATCATGATTATATCGGGTCACATGTACCATAACACTGAAACAAATGCATGGATGATGTTCAAGATGATTACTAAAATGCAATTTTGATTGCACATATACTTTTATATGTCTTGTACCTATTCATCTATATGTGTGTTGTACATGTACGGATACGATGGTGTTTGTGTAACCTGGGGGTCTTTCATAAAGATCCTAAGTTGAACTTACCTCTAAGTTGGACTTAACAATTATAGAAAGCTGTTAGCATCTTCTTTGAAAATATTTTGTTAAAGTTATTGTAAGAGGCATAAGATGATGATTCAAAGCATTCACATTTTCTGTTATCAAGGAGATTTCATGTTCTTGATGTGGAATTTAAGAAAAGACTAAAATACTTGATTTTTTGCTTTTGAATATATTTTATTTTAAGGCTACAAATGGCTCTCCATAATGTTTGAGTCCAACTTAAAGTGAAGTTCGACTTAGGATCTTTGTGAACTGTATCATCTGGTGAGATCCATAAGGGCATTTACTCATATCATTCAACAGAGACTTAAAGCCCTTCTGGCTCCAAACAGACGATATGCTCAGAGCTCAGAGCATTAACTCATTATATCCGTTTAAACAGATTTAACACCCAACTGTCTTGGAGTTGGCTCCCAACCCCTTGCTGAAACAGTACGTTTTCATTACCGCCTTACTGAAGAAATTCATCCATTTGACATTCTGATCCATGTATTCATGAAGACAACGAAAAGGAGAGATGTAGGCCTATATATATATCTGTGATGAGTGTTATATATTGGCCCTTTGTTCAAGCATGAGAGGAGGAGACACGAACGCTATTGTATTAGACGGACAGAAAGAGATGCAGAGCGATAATGGAAGGAGAGAGAGAGAGAGAAAGGTATAGAATGAGGGAGAGAGAGTGATCGAGAGAGAAAGTAAGGCAAGATTGGGGGGGGGGGGGAGGGGAGGACAAGGCCAGAAGAAAACAAAGAAGATGTTAGATTTTGATGATGTGATAATGATTACATGTACTGTATTTAAATAAGCGAGATGATATAGAGACGACGAATTGGGGGGGGGGGGGGGGGGGGGGGGGGGGGGGGGACAAGAGGAAGGAAATAACATACTCGAAACTCATCTACCCCATCCTTCTTGTGTATCTGTTTCTCACCATTCTCGTACAATTATTAATCTTCGCATGCATGAGACAATTTACTCAGTTTTTAAAATAAATAAACAACATTGTCACAATCTGCTTATAAGAAAGAGAGAAGATAGGGAAGATAAATCTGGCCATGCCACACTAGACGAAAAATTTACGTCTACAGTATCCTAGTAATTTTAATATAATAACTCTTCGCATAGATTTATTTCAGTGGCGGATCCAGGAGGGCCCGGGCCCCCATTCCTGGGGGAAAAAAAATGTGTAAAAACACGTGAATTTTACCCTTTTTAAAAAAAAATTTTTTTTTTTTTTTACATGGGGCCCCCTCCCCTGGCGCTCAGGAAGGGGGTGCGATTTTTTTAATTTTCGAGGACCAAAAAAAATTAGTGCTCACTAACCCCCCCCCCCCCCCCCCCCCCCCCCCCCCCCACCGAGCGAATTATCGGCCGGCTATTTCGCCGCTAAATATTTTCTCACGAATTGGGCCCCCTCCCCTGCCGCCGGCTGGATCCGCCCCTGTTTATTGTAACTTACATTCCTTTAAAGATTACCTCCCTGAACGTACCTCTCTAATGTTAAATATCAATTAGTCATTACAGTATACCGAATAGAAGGTCAAACACCACAATAAATCCATACCGTCTATTTTTATTTCCACAGCGGCTTGGGAGAAAATTCATGCCTATATCGCCTACATTTCCCTCTTTTTTACGTCCTTTATGATAGTGACGCGTATAGGCCTTAATGGAACAATAATTATACTGCTACGAAGGGCATAATATTTCAACGTGAGTCGTGCAAACAGATCGAGGGGAGAGTGAGAAGGGGAGGGTTGGGAGGAGTCACCCCTTTCTTTTTCATTTTTATGCATACATTTCCAATGAAGTTCACATGTCTGATTATGATTGCTGTTGTCATGTCATCACTATCTTGTCATATTATGTTATCTTGAAAATGAAAGCAATAGAATATCAAAAAACAAAAATATAGGTAGAGTTAGAGGTAGATTGGAGGAGATATGTAATTATTTAGAGAATGTAGAAATACATGTATATATCTCCAATTCGTGTAATTTTATTTCCCAACCAACATTGTGTACATGCATATAATAGGGGAGGGGGGGGGGCCGAGTGAATTCCCCCTTTATTTTATTTATTATGTATATATTAACTTCCATTTAAGTTCATATAATGATTAGGATCTTATCTTGTCATGTTATATCTTGTTATATTATCTTTAAAATAGAAGCAATTACAAGAATCTTTAAAAATATAATTAATTACAGTCATTTTGTTTTTAAATAGATTTTAGTCCCGACTCCTAAATTTGGCATACAATTTCAATTTTAGAAGCTAAGAGTTCATCTGCATTTCTGATTTTAAATATAAAATTAATTACTAGCCATGCGTGTGCTAGCGATTCGGAAGATTCTGCGATCGTTAGAGAAAAAAACAAAACTTGAATGTACCTTCAAGTCAGGGGCTTAATTTCGATTAACTTTTGCATTTGTTTTTTTTTAAATTCAAGACGCCCCAAATGACAGACGTTTGCCAATATGCATGCCAACAGCAACAAAGCAAAGTAATATATTTCATTAAGCTACGAAATAATAGGTTCTGCATGTTTTGAAATATGTCGGTTAATAAAGACCCTAGTTTTTTGGTTTTTTTTGGGGGGGGGGGGGTATTTATAGTTTGGACAGGAGTGTGCGGCTAAAACCCCAAACTCATACTCATTTTAGTTTTTTTTTTTTTTTTTTTTTGCATCTGGGATTTGCACTTTAGCGAGAATATGGATGAGATATTATTCTGATGAATATAGTAACCCACATTAAGGCCATGATCTAAAGGTGGGGCGATTTGTAGGCAGTTTCCAAAACAATATCTTCCCCTATGTTTACCCGGGCCCTTTCCACCCCGGACTAGCGACACTCTACCTCGGCAACCTAGAGTTGCACTTATGTTAGTTCATTTACCAAAATGATTCGTTCGTTTATCTATATGTTGTATTTAAGTGGTGTAGCTACGGGGGGCATAGGGGGCACGCGCCCCCTCCCTAGTCGAATGGCCAACACAAAAACAAAAAGTGAGAGAGAGAGAGAGAGAGAGAGAGAGAGAGAGAGGGGGGGGGGGGGGAGAGAGGAAAGGGGAATTAAAAGAACGTGAAATAATGTAAAGAGATAGCCTAGATTGCTCGAAAACGCTCTTCATAGATTATACTATTATGTGAATCAGTAACGTTGGGACAACATGATACGTCTTAAATGAAATCTTTTATAAGAGGTGCATTAAACGATTATCGAAAAACGCTTGGTGTAGCGTACAGCTGTACAGCAGAGAAGAAAAAGAAATGGAGATAGGGGTGACAGAAGGAAGACATACGGGAAAAGAGACAAAAAGAGAGTATGTATGTCTGTCCTTTTCACTTTAAAATACAAAATGTTCCCACTCTAAAGGAGCCAGGGTTATATTCCCTCTCGCCTCTCGGCCAAATCAATCTGCCCCTCAATTTTTGACCATCTAGTACGCTACGTCGTGTTTCAACTGGAGTGCCACGAGAGTATCGTTATACAGTATCAAAAATATCTTTTGGAATAACGTCAACTTCAGAAACTGCAAGATGCCCCAAAATAATACAAAAAGATCTCACTGGGCATTTTGGTGAAGAAATAACATTTCAGAGATAGTAAAGTGTTGTTTTTTCTCGCTCGCTTCGCTCTCCCGCAAAATTTGTATTTGGCCGGCACTATAGCTCGCTGCCCGAATATCATCATGATTTCGGGCAGCATATGGCGTACGAATATATCCTTATTTATTGTATGTTTATATCGAAATGAAATTTTGCCCTCTTTCACTTCTCAAAAATGATAAGTCAGGATGATTTCTAGCAACGAGATGATCGAATACAATCATCTTATTACTCGACCGATCGAATTTATTTCAGTTCCGGCGAGTATAGGGCACACACTTTATAGAAAAAAGGGGAGGGGGTTGAAAAATGCCGATCTAGTACTAGACTGAAGAAAGACTGGTGCCCATTAATGACTGATCCCATATGCACGCTACGCCACTGTTTTGTGAACCCTTTTAAAAAAAATTAACCCTCTCTTCTGCAAATATATAAGTTGATTATTTATTAATGAACAATAAATACTCAATAAAAAGTTAACAATTTTCTCAATTGAATTTAAATGCTGAACATGAAAATATTTGTATATAATATATGTCAAATTGGCTGAGCCATTTCGTTTATATCGCTAATTGGGTGCTCCTGTTTATTTCTGCAGGTCATTGACCCATCTTGTTTCTAGCCTTTGCTAAAGTAGCGGAGAAAGGTTAGGCTGCTGCTGCTGGTATCGACTTTTAGACGTGAATCTTTGGGTAAGTTCACCGATGAAACCATCCAAAGTGAAATTATTATGGTAGAATTTTATGATTTTCAAATGCAAGTACATTTCTTATACCTAATTCAATAGCATTGACACTGACAAATGTAAGCATGTCATTGTGATTTGATCTTGCTTTCTTTTCACAGGCCCACGTGCATGCTTTTGCGTCTTGTTTATTAACATTGATATCTTTATGCCTCCGCCATGCGCCACAAAGTAGCGGGCAAAGTAGCCGGAGGCATTATTTTTTCTTTCAAATATAGACCACTCATAAAAATACGGTGTACAGCCATGACTATAGCATGACGTCATTTGAGTTTCCTCGTTTAGACTGATGACGTGGTTCTGTCAAGAAATATGGTAGCATGCACTCGATCTTTCTCCTTGGAACCTCTCACTCAAAATCAAATGAGTTAGAAGTCTGTTTGACGTTATTCCAAAGTAGCAGTGCTGTCAACTTTGGGGAACTCAATCAGGGAGATTGTATGCATTTTTTTTTGGCTCAACGGGGAAGGGGGGGGGGGGGGGAGGTGTTGAGTAAGATTTTTTTTTTGAAGTGTTCACTAATTGGTAAGATTGTTCAGGTGAGATGTAGTGAATACCAGATGTACAATTAGACTAAAGATAATCTGAAAGTTTGAGTGAAAACAGACCAATATTAATGATAAAAATTGGGAAAAACTGATCTGATCGATTCCTTAATTCTCCGAGCTATATTGTTACAATTTAATTACATTTTTGGTGAATGTAAATGGTCACAAAGCAATGAATTGTCTCTAAATACCATTCCAGACATTTAAGTGTTGAACGATTTTTAAAAGGCTGTCTGTTGTTTTTTTTCATGGGAAAACGGTTGGGAAAATTCAAAAACGGTTGGGAGAATTTACTGTTAGAGGGTACGTGTCACACCGTGACACCTTTAAATTAAAAAAAACCTTAGACATCTTTGTGGTATGAAATTTTTTTTTCAGGATTTGTGCATGTCAAAGGGTTAAACATTAGAAGGAAAATAATAAGTTACATTTCATACAAGAGTTACACACTTTTATTATCAACCTTCATCAATGTTACCAAGTCACTTTAATATGAATAAAATTAGATTCTTAGTGGGAATGTGATTCCTTACTTTGCAAGCGGCCTTTGTTCTTTCTTGTAAATAAAGGATCCCACCTGAATACATTTCATGAAATTAAAAATAAGTAAAAAATGATTATTAGAATATTATAAACATTGTAAAGTATAGCTATCCAGAACATTGCTGGGGTTGATATTGATATTTTAGAATAGTGGTTATTTTCAAATTTTTCAGCATATAGTGTATCTTGGTTTCTCGTTTAAATGCAGGTCAGTACATCTGCTCACCAGTGAAGATCATAGATCAGTCATCCCATGTGTGTATCCAGTATGGAAGGTCAATTAAGAGGACCCTGCTGTGTCTTGCCATTCATCAGTAAGAAAGAGGCCCTTGACATTGAATGTGGTGTTGGTCAAAATGCTTTTGTTGAGAAAAAGCAGAATCAACTACTAGCTAGTCCATCTGTGTTATTGCCAGTTGGAGATTCAACTGGAAAATCATTAAAGAAAAGACCACTGACTGCTGATGAGAGGCAACGACCGAACAGGTTGGAGCAATGCAGAGCAAGGGACTTAGAGAGACAGAAAAAGAGTGGGACACAAGAGCTGAAAAAACAGTCTGAAGCAGCTGCTTTACATCAAAGAGAGAAAAAGAGAGAAAAGCAGAGAAGGCGTCGACTTCGGAAAAGAGAAGAGAATTCGAGAATGAAAGGAACAGGACATGCAAGCATGGACTTCTTGCAAACCAACACTGATTCTCATCTTGATATAAATTCATCTGAATTGAAGGCTGGGCAGTATGCTATTGATACACATGAAGACAGTGAAGATCTTTGGGAATTTGAATGCGATACACCTGATGAGGATGACAAGGCTACCTGTCAAGTGAAGCTAAGGGTACAAGATAGCTCTCCTGCAGAGCATAATGTGGATCCAGCCAATGAAAATGGATTTGGAGTTTGTCAAATTTCAACATGTGAGGTGAAAAAGCAGTCTGAAGCAGCTGCTTTACATCAAAGAAAGAAAAAGAGAGATAGGCAGAGAGAAAAGCGACTTCGGAAAAGAGAAGAGAATTCGAGAATGAAAGGAACAGGACATGCAAGCATGGACTACTTGCAAACCAAAACTGATTCTCATCTTGAAATGAAATCATCTGAATTGAAGATAAGTCAGCATGCTATTGATACACATGAAGACAGCAAAGATCTTTGGGAATTTGAATGCGATACACCTGATGAGGGTGACAATGCTACCTGTCAAGTGAAGCTAGAAGTACAAGATAACTCTCCTGCAGAGCATGATATGAATCCAGCCAATGAAAATGGATTTGGAGTTTGTCAAATTTCAACATGTGAGGTGAAAAAACGGTCTGAAGCAGCTGCTTCACGGCTAAGAGAGAAAAAGAGAGAAAAGCAGAGAGGGTGGAGACTTCGGAAAAGAGAAGAAAATTCGAGAATGAAAGGAACAAGACCTGCAAGCATTGACTATTTGCAAACCAATACTGATTCTCATCTTGGTATGAATTCATCTGAATTGAAGATGGGTGGAGAGTCTGGGGACAGTGTCATGCCAAGGATTGTAGCTGTGTGGAGTATGAGTGAAGGTAGTGAACACGGAGTACGCGTGAAGCAAGAGAACATCACGCAGTACTTGACTAGTAATTGTGATAACTCGGGGTGCAACGTCAGTAATGTGCCAAAAGCAAGTACCATGATTTGAACCAAGGTTCTTGCCTTTATGTAAATATTATGGTATATAATTCTTATCTTTTATTCAGTGTAAAATACCAAAGCTTTGTATTTAATCACAGAACATATTTACCCTAGATGTAGAATAGCTTGTAGCTTAAATACAGTATATATTCAATAGTTATTCATATTTATTCATTAAATTCTAATTCATTGCTGTGATACTTTTGTGTGTTAGTGGTACCAGACACGATTAGCATTGAATGCTATTTTCTGGTCCCATTTATCCTTTCAATGTTAATTATTCACATTTGATTGTTATATCGATGTACTTTTTGTTTGGATAATAAACTTCAAACTCAAATTCAAACTCAAACTCAAACTCAAACTCGGATGATTTCGACAAAATAGTGCCTCAAGATGATATGGGGCCAATTTACGGAAAAGTCCCAAACCTATTTGTTGTGTACCCCTCGGGCAGGGCCAAATCTTGTTCAGATGTTCCTACCACATTTCCTACTCCAAATCAGGGATGATGGCTAGGCATAGATAGAGAACCAGCCACTATGTATCTCATTCTAATTCTATCCCTCTGCGCCTCAGAATAGTTTACTAAAATCGATGGCGCATAATAAATGCTGTATGATTATTATTATTATTATTATTACTTCCATCATTGATTGGGCATCAGGAATAAAAAGATTAGTTTGATGAAATGCGAGAGAGCAAGACAATAGAGTGAGGGGATGGGAAGGGGTCGTATCAACCTCATTGTCTTTTATTGTATATGTCTCGATCGTTCTCTTTCTCTTTCTTTCTCTCAGACTATTTTTCCACTTGATGGAGAGGGGTAGGGGGGGGGGGGGGGGACACGAGCCCCATGTTCCCTGTAGCTACACCTCCTCTTCTTGTACAAGACAAAGCTGTGAGAGTAGGTCATAATCAAAGCCGTGTGTGTCGCTCATGAATATTTGATTTTAGAGAAATAAAACCAGAAGATATATATTTTTTTAAATACCCTTTTTTCATCAGAATGAAAATAAGTTCACATCTCACCGTCCTAATTATTTTGATGAATAGATTGTACACGCCAATCGACTCTTTACCGACTGCCAATTCCTTTACTACATTTATTAGGCTAATACGTACAATTATTCCCAGAGGAGTCGATCCTTGTGACAGTGAGCAGTTACTCTCCCCTCCCTCATTTCTTAAGTATCAATGCTTCCTAAAATTGTTTAGATTACGATCTCCAGATACTGCCCAAATATCATTGTGAATAAATGACAAATGTTGTTTTTCAACGTCCTTAGTTCTTCTTGCTGTACATAATGTACGTTTTTTGTAAACTATATATACATTTTCTCACATTTCTTATCCTTTTTAGGCAATATTACGTGCTTAATAGAATCGTTTCCCATTAGTTCCTACTATTACTTCCCATGTATACATTGACATGATTTTGCTCTCCCCCCCCCCCCCCCCCCCCATTCAGATCTTGGAATGGATCAATACCCCTATTTGTTTGTAACTTCCCATGAATAACAATCTATGACTACCGATTTGTTCTGTGGCCCTGGCTCTTATTATGACCTTCATACATGTAATGGGTCGTAGATGACAAAGACGGTTTAATTATATCACTTAACAGCAACCCTAATTTGTAAAAGTATTAGGAAAATCGATGATTTACCGGTATATGTGGAAAAATACCTTCATTGATCTCTCTCTCCTTCTATCTATCTCTGTCTCTATCTATCTATCTCTATTTGTCTCTCTTTCTTTTTCTCCTGGGGGGGGGGGGGGGGGGGGGAGTAAGCGTAATGCCTGACAAAGAACTTTAAAAAAATATTTGTCCGGCTTACTATACATGCATTTTTAAATGATGATAGATAAACTCTATAGTGACTCTGACACACCCAAATAACCTTTGAAGAATAGGCCTGTGCCTTTCTCCAAAATAATGTACCTTGATTGTTTTCCCCCTTTACAATCACTTCATCATTTTGTACAGTTCTCTTTAGTGTCCAAATGTTCTGTGTTCACGAGTTGTAATTTCCATTAGTCTAGTTTAATTTAGTATTAAAATTAAAGTAAAATAATGATATGAAAGATATCTCCAATATGTTCCGTTCTGGATACTTTGATTTAAATGACATTAGGTTCCAACACCTCAGTCATGTTGTTCCATTATACCCTTTCATTATCTTTGTTTACAGAGACCCTACGCGATGGCCTAATGGAAGCCTGATTAAGATGAACTAATATTTCGACAAAATGTTTGAATGTGCTGTAGCTCGGAACCCAAAACCCGGACCCGGTCCGACCCGGCAATTTCCAAATTTCTTAACGGGACCCGGAAAGGTCCGGTAACCCGGTGAGAGTTGGACTGAAATAATATTGACTAGATTCTATTTGAAAGCTACTACAAACACATCTTGTGTGACCTACCGACCTTGTACTGAATAAAGGACACATCGCTTCATTTTGTTTATCATGCTGTCTGTGAGTCCAGACATAAGTCCCAGGTCAGCATAAATTATCACCCTTAATCCACTCCCTAAAAAGATGAAGCACAAGGCTAGCTACATGTATGTAGGCATCCTAAAAATAGCTCATTTCCCTGTCAGAGTGCCCATACAACATGCTCTACTATGATTGGTCTGTTTGTCTGCCAATTAAAAACAATGATCACATGTAAGGCACATGGTACGCTTAACTCATATTTGCATATATCTTGGAATGTGCGCAAGCCCGGACAAAGGCTGCATGTTGAACCTTTGAACCTTGGAACCCTGTTCAAAGAAACCGCGGTGTAATGTGACTCCCAGCTGGTCCCAAGCTGTCTGGCATGCATTAATCTTTGATAGGGAATGTTTTTGTATTCTAAATTTCTGCGACATGATAGTGAAAGAGATATATCAGATGTGAATGAATTTTTGGGGAGATCGAGAGACACAATGACAGAAACTTAAGAAAAGAAAACATGAGAAAAACTACATGAATAATTCTGTACTTCTATATTTTTAAAGAAAAAAGATCAAATTGATTTGAGGGGGGGGGGGGGGGGGGGTTAAAACACATTCGGAAGATTAATAAATAGAATTGAAAAAAAGGTAGAGATGGAAGGAAGAATGATGATGAAGATAACTTTATTTTCCTTCTCATCTCTAAAGACTATCAATATTTCTCACACTTATCATTTTTATTCTTCTTTTCTCTCTTCTAATCTGGGCTAAAACTTTTTGTTCAATTTTGGTTAAGAATTAAGGCAGAGAGAGACAGGGGAATAAGAGAGAGGATGGACCCCAATAATTATCTTCAGAGAACAAATTAGCTTTAGTATTGTTTGCTAATTAATGCAACTTGTTAAGAGGTATTGTGGTGATAGAATTACTCTTTAATTTAACTCTCTGCCGACTTCATCTCAGCTCAGCCTCCACCTCGAGCAAAACAAATTTTCACATACACACTCTCATACACATTATGTAAATTTGCCACTCACTATATCGTTTATCAGCTTGGTCAACAAACTTCATAATTTATGAATCGTCTGTTCTACTGTGCCAGCAATCACTGAACTTTAATTTATGCTGGTTTCACTCTCCGCCCACTCGGGGGGGGGGGGGGGAACTTTCTGATTGGTCAGAACAGTAAGCTGATCAGTCACATCACTTGCAGGCAGGGCCAGGGAGATACATATACACACTTGAACCATAGGTCTATGCTTGAACACAACACAAAATCTGTGTGTGTGTGTAGTGTCGATTGCAAAGACAGGTCAACAGATGTAAAAGATCGAGCCATCATGCTGTGTTTGTTTACAGTTACTTTTGATGGTTTTATCGTGATGAAAGATAAGTAGATAACGAACATTGAGCTATTTAAAAACTCTTTTTTTACTGCCGGGTTTTGTTACCGAGTTGATCTAATTCTGGTTACAGTTCGGCCCGGAACTGGTCCGGCCCGAAATGCTCAACCCGGCGGGTTGGAACCCGGTAAGCCTTCCGAGCTACAGCACTAGTTTCAGGAATACATTTAATAAACGTTTTTTCCTCCATAAGTAAGAAGAATGACCCAATCGAAAGCTATTTGTAATGAATATTTTTGTTAATCATTCATGTTTGCTTTTCATCTTGCACCCTAGCTTTTAAGTAGGTTCACTTTTCATTTCCGTATTTATTGATTTATAGAACATTCATTCATATTATTAATAACTATGATTCAATATTATTTATTTCCATATTACTTAAAGAAACGTTAATATTGTGTAAAATGTATTATACTTTGTAAAGTTTGCATGAAATATGATAAAAAGGCAACCAATCAATCAATGTAAGAAATTGTAGGTCTAAAAGGCTTTCTTAAAAGTATCGAAAGAAAATATATTTCTAATGGTAATGGGTAGAGAATTCCACAGAGCAGGAAGTGATGCCATGAAGGAGATGTTTCCGTGTGTATTCATGTTTGGAGTGTACTACCAGAAGATGTTGTGACGATGATTACAGAGTACGTACTGGAGTATGTTTATGAATAAGTTCTTATATAATAGATGTACTAGGGAGTTGGAATCACAAAAGAAAAGTTGTCGGAATCAATTGTTTTAAATCAATGTTCAATATAAAGTTAAGATGTTCTTCATATTTCCATTAACAGATGTATGCAACACACATTATAGCCTACAAATAGAATAAAGATTTAAATAAAATACATATAATTTTTACAATAATAATACTAATTGTCAACGTTATCATAAAAACAATAATAATAGGAATAATAATAATCATTATAACAATATATTTAAAAAAATTACCGGTGCTGAATAGAGCAACGATTCTGTTTACTTCTTGTTCTTGTTCCTCTCGTTATATATTCATAAGTTTGTAATTCATATTTCCTCTAGTTTATTGCTTTAGGTTCAATATGTTGATATTGTATAGATATATTGTACCTTCTTGTATATTCGTATTTGAATTTGCATGTATAGCGCCATGAGCGTCATGCCTGACGGACCTGGTGCGCTTTATAAGAGGCCAACATTATTATTATTATTTGAAATATAATGTATGGTAAACATCAAGATGTTACGAGGGAAGTGTAGATATGACAGGGCAAACATTTACAATGTTAGGAGCCTTAATAAAAAGCAAAGCTCGTACAAGATCAGGCTCCTGTGCAGAGTAGTATTATAAAGTCTGATTAATGTTCAGTAAAGGGCGTAGAGGAAAAGCAGTACCAAATTTAAGAAACGTACAGGGAGAACGA